ACCTGTATAAAACATCATGCGTCAATAAAGAAAACAATAATTTTACCTACCTTGACTTACATTTTTAAATTTTCCATCCGATTAATTAGAGCTGCAGATCTGAGCATGCGTGACCACACCCAAATTTTTGGAGCACATGCTTCTTTAATTACCAAAATGGCGGCATGCAGCTAAGATGGCTCGATCCAGCAGTCATAGTATCACTTTTTCCTTTCTTGAAGAATGATCTGATGGGACATGGACCTGCGCATAGACTTTTGGAGTAGATTGGTGTAAGAATTATCCTTGTAGCATCAACTGATACCAAGATACACACCGACAACTGGATTGACAGGACTTGATGATGATGAAGATGATGAAGATGAAAAAAGGTGGCTGAACAAAACGGCCGGTTCGCCGATTTTTGACTTTTCGCTTAGACAAGGTCTAGAGCCACGCTAGTTGTACCATTGGAGTCCTCTGGTCAAGATAAGGTCCTCTATAAAGTCTGGTAAGCATAGGAGCTCGTTTTCCCGGTATAGCAAGGCTGCAAAAGTCGTGGCAGCCATTTTGTTTGGGGGTGAATCCTACTTAGTAACGCTACCGCGTTACTAATAGTACAGGGACTTTTATCCAATTTTGGAGTAACTTTTAAAATTTATAAAAAAATTTAATTTTGATCGGAATCAGCTCAAACTTTCTACACAACATAAGAACATGTATATGTATCAGGAAATGTAATAAAATTGGAGAAATTTTCACTTTTATTTTTTGGCGAAATTTGGCCCGTGACCCTGTACTATAGTACAGGGACTTTTACCCAATTTTGGAGTAACTTTAACCTTTTTGTAAAAAATCTAATTTTCATTGGAATCAGCTCAAACTTTCTACGCAACATAAGAACATGTATAAGCATACTAGAGGGATTTTTGCCTAATTTCTGAACAACTTTAAAATTCCATCTGACCTGCATGTACAGTACATGTACAATGTACATTGGTTGCTGGTGCTTGTTAATCAGTGACATATCTCCTTGAATAAACTGGTTTAGTAAACAGGTTGAGTCAGCACTACTCCACCTACTATGTGATGTACACTAGTGACTATAACTGATCTTATGCCAAAATAGCATTAATGAATATAATAGTATTGATCCAGTTACAATTAGTGCTGAAACGAATAGTATTTTCCACTATTCAAATAATTGGCAGCTAAACGAACGAATATTTGAATAATTAAACTGTTATTGCTGAATGATTATAAACTACCTTTTTGGTGTTAAACTTTTCAAAATGATGCCAAACAGAGCTTCTTAGAGATTGAGAACCACTTTCCCTGGCCACAGCATCAGTATTTAGCAAGTTGGTAAGTAAACAGACCAAGAAACAGACTAAGAAAGCAGCCTGTGCAGGTGACATGTGGTGGGCGTGGTCGTTAATTATTGCAATAACCATTAATAATTTTATTAGGCAAATAGTTTGAATAGCAAAAAAACTATTTGAATATTGCTTTAACGAACAAATATTTGAATATCTCACTATTCATTTCAGCCCTAGTTACAATGTAATACCCTCCCTCTCTCTCTCTCTCCCCTCCCTCTCTCCCTCTCTCTCCCTCCCTCTCTCTCTCCCCCCCTCTCTCTCTCTCTCCCTCCCTCTCTCTCTCTCCCCCCCTCTCTCTCTCTCCCTCCCTCTCTCTCTCCCCCCTCTCTCTTTCTCTCTCCCTCCCTCTCTCTCTCTCTCCCCCCCCTCTCTCTTTCTCTCTCCCTCTCTCTCTCTCTCTCTCCCCCCTCTCTCTCCAGGTCTCGTCCCTGTACTTCCAGTCAGTTGTTTCATTTTGGTTGGATACTCTACATTCACATTAAAAGTTAGTTTTATTTCAATCGTCATTTAAAACGACGGCAAGAAAATAAGAATTTTGCCATTTAAAAAACTTTGACTTTCCTTGAGTAAACCTGTACATGTACATGAACTGTATTGTTTAAATACATTTCAGGCCTGACCAAACAATGAGATCAGTTCATCTTTTAAACCTTTTGAGCAACAACATGTAATCTTGTGTATGTGTACATATACTGTATAGTGGTTATAATTCACTGGAAATAAATTTCGCTAATTTCACGTTTTCATTAAATTTGCAACATTGAATTCTACAAAAGAGGTGTGGCACACTAGGAAAAATGGCTGTAGAAGATAAGATTTGCGAAATTTATTTCTACCATCAAAATAAAACCTCTATACGGAACAATTTTCTCTCTCCTCTCTCCCTCTCCCTCTCTCTCTCTCTCTCTCCCTCTCCCTCTCTCTCTCCCTCTCTCCCTCTCTCTCTCCCTCTCTCTCTCTCTCTCTCTCTCTCTCCTCCATTATCTATACAGATCAGTTCCCACTCATAAGTGATGATTTGGTTAATTCTCATTATTTATTATTATGTTGTATTGACATGTTATGTGCAGCTGCTGTCATCGGAAAAAGACACGATCTATTGCGCAATGACTTCACACCTCCCTCTCTCCCGGCAGTCACACCTGATTGTGACTCCGCCCCCTCGTTAATAATTGACGACTATCCTACTATACTGCCAGAACTATGCAGGCAATTTTCAGGTTTGAATAAATTGATAATAAATATAAATGTATTATTTATTAATAATGTGATAATTATTACATTATGCAGTTTATTTTTTACGAAGTAATTTTTATGCATACTTATATGTCAGGGCGTAACAAGGGGGAGTCCCTTTATGTTTTTTAATTAATTGATAATTTTAATATACATGTACATGTATTAAATATAACCTAATTGCTTGCAATGAAAGTCACAAGAAATGAAATGAGTAAAATACAATAGTGGTTTATAAGGCTGAACTATACTGTCCATCAGTGTTAGGGATTTCTTTAGCAGCAAGTATAGGTTAAGAAAGAAGATATGAATGTCTTCTTTGTTGATGTAAGGATCCTGATACTGTTCAATGGCATAGTATATACATGTATAAGCTTAACTGAAATGCAGTAACTCTTTTCTCAAGGGTTTAGGAAAGAAAATGAAGGGTTCATGTACTGCACTGGTTGCTATGGTGATGCCAGGAATCATTATAACTTCCTTTAGTCATAAGATCTTTTTACATGTACCGTAAATCCTTAAATAGAAGCCGCATTCGAATAAACGCCGGGGTAGCAATACAATTTAACTATAAATACGCAACACTAACCCAGGAGTGCCTCAGTAGTCCAGTGGATAATGCCTGAAGTTCTAAAAGTCAAAAGCATGAGGTCATGGGTTTGAATCTTGCTCTGGGCCTAAGTTTTTTTATTTTTTATATATTTTTCCGAGGTCCAAATACCATTTTATGAAATAGACGCCCGGGCTTTTATTTAAGGAAGTGCGGTACATTAAATTACATACATGTACATTCATCAGGTAATAAGGTTCATGTACATGTACATTGGGTGCAGTGGGTGCTATAGTAAAGCCAGGATTGATTATGTACTATCATAACTTCCTTTAGTCACAAGATCTTTGAATATATTTAAGGTATCACCCACTTTTTGTGTCTAGCTGACCTCCTTCCATCTTCTTCATTTTCTTATCTTTCGTTCTTGCTCTATCTTCATTTACCGTCTTCTACCTTTATCTCTCTTCATTTTTCATTCTTGCTTTACGTACACAATTTATTCTTTTCTTGAAATGGCAACCAAACCATCTTCTGGTCTCAGACTCAAACTGGAGGAACAGCTCACCTGTCCTGTGTGTCTTGACCACTATACCAACCCTAAGACTTTACCTTGTCTACATTCATTCTGTGAGCACTGTCTGGAGGGATTACCTCTGGATAAGAAGAATGAGACCTATTACCTCTCTTGTCCCACTTGTCGTCATTGTACAGAGTTACTAGAAGAAGGATCAGGAGCCTTTCCTGTAGCATTCCACCTCAACGACCTCAAAGAGATGTACAGTCTAACAAAGAAGACAGCAGTTTTGCCAAATCCTCAAGAGGCCACATGTAGTGATCATGGG